GATGGGTGATGCAACAGGACAATGACCCAAAGCATACAAGTAATTCAACAAAACAATGGCTGCAACAGCACAGAATATGCCTTCTGGAGTGGCCCAGTCAGAGTCCTGACCTCAACCCGATTGAAATGCTGTGGCATGACCTTAAGAGAGCAATTCACACCAGACATCCCAAGAATATTGCTACACACTGAAACAGTTTTGTGAAGAGGAGTGGTCCAAAATGACTCCAGATCGTTGTTCAGGTCTGATCTACAACTATAGGAAACGTTTGGTTGAGGTTATTGCTGTTAAAGGAGGGTCAACCAGTTATTAAGTCTAAAGGTTCACATACTTTTTCCTCCCTGCACTGTGAATGTTTACATGTTATGTGAATTAAACCATGGCAACATCTAATGTTTGTGCAGTATTATGTTTCAGCAGACTGTGTTCTTCTATTGTTGTGACTTAGATGACATTCAGAGCACAATTTATGCCCAATTCATGCAAAACTCCACGTAATCCCAAGGGGTTCACATACTTTTTCTTGCAACTGTAGTTGACCAAGGACATTGGCCACTGAAGGTAAAAAGAGGCTTAAAAATGGTTGAAGCCAATATCAAGACACGATTGGACAAAGGCAAGTTTTTTACTCTATTATTTTTGTTACTTTATTTCACAGTGTATCATTTTTCATGATCATTTACCTTCTTGTTTCAACTGTGGCTCAGCCAGGGCCTGGGTGGTCATAAAAATGGAACTTCTGACAGCTTCTTTGGACTGTATAAATTCCATAAGAACAGACTCTGCCTGTAAGATGTTGGAAAAGATTGATAACCAATAATTACAAATCCATCATTCATTTAGCCAAGCTCTTTATGCCTTTGTGGGAAGAAGAGTCTGTTTATTCTGATCCACCAGAACAGTTGAAATTATATACAGTGAGGAAGAGAAGTATTTGAACCCCCTGCAATTTTGCAAGTTCTCCCACTTAGAAATCATGGAGGGGTCTGACATTCACATTGTAGGTGCATTCCCACTCTGACAGACAGAATTAAAAAAAAAAAATTCAGGAAATCACATTGTATGATTTGTAAAGAATGTATTTGTCTTGCACTGCTGAACATAAGTATTTGAACACCTGAGAAAATCAGTGTTAATATTTGGTACAGAAGCCTTTGTTTGCAATTACAGAGGTCAGACGTTTCCTGTAGTTCTTGACCACGTTTGCACTACAACAGGGATTTTGGCCCCCCCTCCTCACACAGATCTCTCTCTAGATCTGTAAGGTTTCGGGGCTGTCGCTGAGCAACACAGAGTTTCAGCTCCCTCCAAAGATGTTCTATTGGATTTAGGTCTGGAGACTGGCCACTCCAGAACCTTGATATGCTTCTTACGGAGCCGCTCCTTGGTTCTCCTGGCTGTGTGCTTTGGGTCGTTGTCATGTTGGAAGACCCAGCCACAACCCATCTTCAATGCTCTGACTGAGGGAAGGAGGTTGTTGCTCAAAATCTCACAATAAATGGGCCCCATTCATCCTTTCCTTAATACAGTGCAGTCGTCCTGTCCCCTTTGCAGAAAAGCACCCTCAAACCATGATGTTACCACCCCTATGCTTCACAGTAGGGATGGTGTTCTTGGGATGCAACTCATCCTTCTTTTTCCTCCAAACACGACCAGTGAAGTTTAGACCAAAAAGTTCTACTTTGGTCTCATCTGACCACATGACTTTCTCTCATGCCTCCTCTGGATCATCCAGATGGTCATTGGCAACCTTCAGACGGGCCTGGACATGTGATGACTTGAGCAGGGGAACCTTCAGACGGGCCTGGACATGTGATGACTGGAGCAGGGGAACCTTCAGACGGGCCTGGACATGTGATGACTTGAGCAGGGGAACCTTCTGTGCAATGCATGATTTGAAACCAGGACAGCGTAGTGTTCTATCGACAGTGACCTTTGAAACTGTGGTCCCAGCTCTCTTCATGGGGATGTCATTGACCAGCTCCTCCCTTGTAGTTCTGGGCTGATTCCTCACCTTTCTTATCATCAGTGATACCCCATGAGTTGAGATCTTGCATGGAGTCCCAGTCCGAGGGAGACTGACAGTCGTCTTTAGCCACTTCCATTTTCTAACAATTGCTCCAACAGTTGATCTATTTTCACCAAGCTGCTTGGCTATTGCCCCATAGCCCTTTCCAGCCTTGTGGAGGTTCACAATTTTTTCTCTGGTGTCTTTTGACAGCTCTTTGGTCTTGCCCATGGTAGTACTTGGCGTCTGACTGACTGTGGGGTGGACAGGTGTCTTTAAAGAGCTCAGACAGGTGCTACGAAGTTAGATTAATGAGTGGAGTAGAGGTGGACTTTTTAAAGGCGCAGTAACAGGTCTTTGAGAGCCAGAATTCTTGCTGTTTCTTAGGTGTTCAAATACTTACGTTCAGCAGTGCGAGACAAATACATTCTTTACAAATCATACAATGCGATTTCCTGAATTTTTTTTTTTAATTCTGTCTCTCAGAGTGGGAATCCCCTGCAATGTGAATGTCAGACCCCTCCATGATTTCTAAGTGGGAGAACTTGCAAAATCTCAGGGTGTTCAAATACTTCTGTTCCTCACTGTAAGTGCTTCATTGATGATGTGGTGATATTATGGCAAGGAGATCTGAGATGCTTGGAAGTCTATTTGATTAGTTTGAATCAGAATGATAGAAATATCAGCTTTTCTTAGGAATGTGATCCTGTTGGACTTCATTTCTTGGAATTAGAGATTTGTTTTAAAGAGGTAAGATTGTCAACAAAAATTTCTATAAAATGGTGGATCGCAATGAATATATCCCTTTTGACAGCTGCCACTATTCACCCTGGTTGATAAAAAGTCCTAAACCAAGCTGCTCTCATAGACCAACGTTTTATTAATAAAGGTCTTCGGTCTTTATATTACATATTTGGCTTTCCTAATATGGATCGTCTGAACAATCTTGATTGAGTCAGGATGCATTTTGACAATTATAGCCTAGCGTCCTGTCACATAATGTTTGCACTTTTTTTCACTAAAATGTCTTCTGCTATTGTGTATTAGTTTGTCATTTTTTTTGTATAGAATTTTTGTGACATAATGTGTATATTTCCTTTTCCTATTAAGTGCAAAAAAAAGGCCACCGCTATTATTAATAGTTTTTAATACCCTTTTTGTCTACAATTTTTGCCACTTAATGTGGATATACCCTTTCCCTACCAAGGGTGGACTGACCATTTGGAAACTCGGGCACTGCCCAAGGGCCCGGGGTCAGTAGGGGGCCCCATGAGATGCCCCTGGTGCCTTTTCCATAGGCTTTTTTGAGTTTGAACAAGGACACGGGGGCCCCATGATCCCCTACTGCCCGGGGGCCCCATGAGCTGTCAGTCCGCCCCTGTTCCCTACTAAGTACATTGGTTGGTGTACACAAAAATGACCACTGCTATTGTATTAGTTTTTTGTTTGCATATCAATTATCATTGCCTATGGTAAACGTTTGTCAGTAGCTTCCTATCCCTGAAGAAGTCACATGACTCATGGCGTAACGTGTAGGATGGAAGATTGGGACATCTTTTCTGGTGTGTGTGGGAGTCGCCATCCGTGTTCACCCTGCTTTTCCTTTAAATGCTTGAAATAGGTTCTGTGAACCTTTTATCTATGTGAGGGACACTTTTTTTTATACATTTTATGGTAATAAATAAATACACTAAGAGGAGTTCCTTGTTCCTTATCTCTTGAGCACCTATCTATTGGACTGGGATGTACAGGATTGTTCCTGAGTTTGCCTGGAGAGACCTGTGAAAGCCGAGGATCCAGTAGGATTAATGTTGAGCCCCTGAAGACCTATATTTTCTATGGGTTAGCTATTGAGACCGTGCAGATTGGGTGTGTGCATTCCCCTCACTCAGATCTCAGATTACACTCAGCTCTCTCTGTACTGTGCAATGTGTGACATCAGATCCCCACCCCCGGCCTTCTGGAGCTGAGAAATAGCTTTATATGTGTGTTTAGATGGCTGAAGAGAAGACTGCAGAAAACAGGTACAACGTGTGTAGGAAGATTTGTTTCATCTCTGTGTATCACCTGAGGCTGGTCACTTCACTGGATGCATGTAAGGGTTTACAACCACTTTCTGTACTTTTACCTTCAATTTTCTGTCTGCATTCGGAGCTGAGCGCCTGTTCCTGCTCGCTTGTCAAACTCAGCTATGCAAGTGAGTCTCTTCAGCTGCTCTATTTCCATTGCCTCAAATAGGCTCCCAGCTCCATGGTGCCTGGTATACATAAAAACACACACAGTTCTTGCACACAGCAGGCCTTGGCACCCATGAGAATGAGCCCTAATGAAAACTGGCAAGGAAGCCTTACAAAAAAGACATTAGCGAGTGGCTGAGTCCTTTTAGAGACATGAGCATGTTATAAACATGGATTTTTTTCTTTTCATTTACGAAATTTGGGTTTAAATGTAAATAGTGCCAAGTGAAGTTCTTATTATTGCAAACCCCCCCCCCAAAAAAAAAACTTTTAGGTTTGTGACACCAACAGGGCTGCTGTTAGAAACCATGGAGCCCCATACAGCCAACCTGACAGAGCCCCCCCTCAAAAAAATAAGAAAACAAAAAAAAACACAGTTTACTATGCTTCAGTTATGAATGAACATGGTGAGTGATCGGTACCAATCATTCATTGTGTTTATTCAGAAAAGAAAGGGGCTGATACATGTGACATTTTGTGCGCTTGCAGATGCTGGTAAGAAGGAAAAGAGGGAATCTGGCAGCACTGCGGGGGTTGGGGGGGGGGGGGGGGGGGAGTGATACTTGGGGGCAATTTCTGGAACTGATCCCCTGTATGTCTCCCGTTGCAGCAGTTTCATAGCCAGCAAGAGGGAGAGGAGAAGAAGGCAGCTTTCATCTGCTGCAGAAAGACAAGACAAGGGATCGGTTAAGACAGTAATTGCCCCTCCCCAAGGGATCTCATCTGCTGCACAGAAAGACAGACAAGGGATCGGGTTACAGTAATTGCCCCCCCCAGTGCCAATCACCCCCCCCCCCTGCCCACATCTGATTCACCCAGCTGCCTGGGCCCCCTTGCTGGCCTGGGCCCCATACAGGAGGACTGGTGGTACCCCCATATCCACGGCCATGGACACCAATACCCACCTCTACACCTTTTCTTGGTTCACTGTTGTATTTCTCCTCTATCATCGCCATATCCTCCTGGAACTTCTGGTACCCGCCTGGTTTGGAGTACAAGTCTTGTTGCAAGGCTTGCTCAAGGCTTTTAGAATACTTTTTGATGAGATGATCACAGTAATTGAGAGATGTCACTTCATTCATTTTAGAAAATTCTTTCTTTCTCTCCTCTATATTCCGCTGTTTGGGTGTAAAATGGTGAGAGATGAGGATGGTGGGTGATATGAGTTTCAAAATTCAGGAAACATCTACTGCCAGTCAAATAAATGGATCTCTTGCTGTTCACCAGTACCATTTACACAGCCATTGTGTCCGGCTACCACAAGGAACCAAAGAGAACATCATTTAACTTGATTTTATATAAAGTATACAGCATCTAAAACAAAAACTTTTTTTTTTCTTTGGACAGTTCTCACTGGAACAATTGTTCCTATTGGAGGATGTTCCTTCCTGTACAGCTGAAAATGTTGAACTCCCCTTCACTTTCTGTGCTAAAGACAATGGTCACCTGGAAAAATAGGTCAAGCTAAAGGATAAATTCATTTTGTGTGTGTCAACTCCTAAGGGGATAGTGCTACACTAACATAGACATTCATTCATTCAACAGTGTTCTGTGAATGGAAAAACTACAAGTACCAACAGCCTTTGCTGCTGTCAGCTTGTAGTTCTCAATGAACTACCACGGGGCTTTTGAGCACTCTGGTAGATCATTGTTTCTACCTGTTAGTGTGAAGCTACCTGCCCATATGATGTATGGGCAGACGGCTTCCTCTGACAGTCTGTAGGAGTCCTGCATGGCACCCGTGATCAGCAGATCTTTCCAGGCTCCTACAAAGAAAAGTGTGCATTTATTTTTATTTTTTTTGTGAACTTATCCTTTAATCTCTCCACCATGATCCAGACAGCAATGCAAATCTGTAAGAGCTACAATAGTTATCTACACTATTCAAAACAAAAAGCAATTTTGGCTTTAGATTTTAGAAATAGTTTGTGATTTTTTTTTTGGGGGGGGGGGGATCACCAGCTAGCCATGTTGGTAATAGCAGCAGTCCTTATTTTTCAAAAGTTAAATGAAAACAGTTTACTTCAGCATGGAGAAAACAGTCCAAATTTCTGGTACACAAAATAAGGCTCACCGCCATCACAAGCTTGGGATTTTAAAGTTCTCTGGATCTAGAAATATTGCAAGAGCTAAAGCAACCTGTAACAAGACTGCATCATACAAACATGTCCTGCTCCACTCAACATCTCACAGGCACCTTCAGGAACACACTACCTGTAGTCTGGGTTAGAGGCTCTCTCGCACCCAAAACTCTCTGAGCCTCTGAATTCTGGGTCTCATACCAGGACCTGACAATCCTATGAAGACTGTAAGTCCGTTTTCCCCCTTTTGTCAGATCAGCTTGAAACCCCTCACTCTGCATGGGTGAGAATCCCTGTGTGCACCCAACTGCTTATTGTCCACCTTAAAGAGACTACAACCCAAATAATGGGGACATACAGCATGTTCCCCATCCAAGACCTATCCCTAGCATCCTGGACAATAGAATATATACAGTATAACAGCCATAAATGAAAGGCATACTCACCATAAACTGTGCATGGAAATTAAGTTCAAGATCATTGAAGGACTTGTCTGTAAACATCTGAAGAGCTTCTTCCTCAAATTTAGCGCTCAGCTCTATAAACTCTTCCAGTGTCTCAGTGGGGAATTGTCCTCTCTCTCTCATCATCTTCTCATAGTGCTCAGTTGCCTCCCGGACAGCTGCCCTGTTCTTCATCTCTGATATACTCATCACAACATCCTCCATACACATAGCAGTGGAAGAAGTGATGGCTTCTGTGTACTTATACACTAGCTGCCCCAGTACTATACATAGGAAATATATAAAAGAGAATATGTGTGAGTTTACTTGAGTAAAATCTCAACCAATATTATATAAAAACACCCCTCTTTAGTGGCTTAGCTCTCCCATGCATACTGCACACGTCTTAAAAAAGATCTTTAAGGCATGGCCTAACATTATACTGTATTAGAATATAGTTCCATTAAAGTGGACCTTCACTTAAAACTGAAAGCTTCGCTTATCCTTACTCCACCTTTACTGTATTTTTTTTTCTGAAAGTTACCTGCGCCTACATCCGCAATTCTTACCTTGCCTTAGAATTATGCAAGCTTGGCCTTCCCCCTGTCCGCCCACAGCCTCCTGGGATATGCCACAAGTCCTAGGAGGCTGTGGTTTCCAGTCTGGGGGGAGCCGGCCATGAGACATCAGGAAGTAAAACCCAGACCCCATATTGAAGCTGGGGCTGGATCCACAGTGCAGTTAAGATCATTTTCAGTGAAGGCAGCACTAAACTCCATGGGCTGTTAACTGTTGTTTAAAAGTCAGCAGCTACAATATTTAAGTTGCTGACTTTTCATTTTTTTCAAAACAGTACCTAAGTTCCTCTATAAACACATAGTTCATGCACAGTATCCTCGTTTCCTATCATAAACAATGTGCAGCATTGTTCAAAGGTTAAAAAAGTAAAAGCCTCTCTTCCTCCATCCTTCTTTTTTTTCATGCCTTCCTTCCTTTCCTTCCTCTCCCTCAACCTCTCCCTCCCTTCTCCACCTCTCATTCCTTTCGATCTTTTCTCTATTCCAATCCTTCTCCATTTCTCCTTTCTACACTACATCTCTCACTCCCTTACCCTCCTTTCCCTCTCCCCCCCTCTATTCCACTCCTTCTCCATCTCTCCCCCTAACTCTCACTCCTTCTTCTCTCTCTCCACCTCTCTCTTCTCCATCTCTATCTTCTCCATCTATCTTCTTGTCCCTTCCTCCCTCTCCATCTTTTATTCTTTTGCTCCTTCTCAATCTCTCCCTCACTCCTTCCCAGGGGCGGACTGACCATTTAGAAACTCAGGCACTGCCCGAGGGCCCGGGGTCAGTAGGGGGCCCCATGAGATGCCCGTTACCTTTTTCATAAGCTTTTTTGAGTTTGGGCAATTACACAGGGGCCCCATGATCCCCTATTGCCCGGGGGCCCCATGAGTTGTCAGTCCGCCCCTGCTCGTTCCTGATCTCTCTCCCTCTCCCTCACTCCCTCTCCATCTCTTTCCCTCTCCTTCACTCCTTCTCCATCTCTTCCCATCTCCCTCACTCCTCCATCTCTCAACCTCTCTCTTCTCCATCTCTCCTCCTCTCCCTCCCTTCTTCTCCATCTCTTCTTCTATCACTTCTTCTCAATCTTTCCCCCTCTCCCTCACTCCTTTTCCATCTCTTCCCCTCTCCCTCACTCCTCCTTCTCCATCTCTCCTACTCTCCCTATCTTCTTCTTTCATTCCTTCTCCATATCTCCCTCATTCCTCCATCACTCTGTCTCTCTCTTTCTCCATCTCTCCCCTCTCCCTCATTCCTTCTCCATCTCTAATCCCTTCCCTTCCTCCTTCTCCATCTCTAATCCCCTCCCTTCCTCCATCTCCACCTCTTTTTATTTCACTCCTTTTTACTCTCTCTCTCTCTCACTCCTTCTCAATCTCTCTCCCTCATTCCATTATTCTCCTTTCTCCTTCGGGCCCTTCCTCCCACACCCCCTTGTTGTTTCCACTTCCTCTCCTGTTCTTCCTCTCTCTGTGTGTTTACATTCATCACCTTCCTTCCTTCTACTTCTCTACTTTTTCTTATCTGTCTCCCATCTCTCTCCTCTCCCTTCCTCCCTCCCCATCTTTTCTTTTACCACTCCTTCTCAGTCTCTCCCTTACTCCTTCCTGATCTCTCCCCCCTCTCCCTTACTCCTTCTCCATGTCTTCCCCTCTTCCTCACTCCTCCATCTCTTCACCTCTCTCTTCTTCATTTCTTATGCTCTCCCACACACCTTCTCTATCTCTTCCCTTCTCCCTCATTCCTCTCCATTTCTCCTCCCCTACTTCTCCATCTCTTCTTATTGCACTCCTTTTCAATATCTCTCTCACTCCTTCCCAATCTCTCCCCCGATCCATTCTTCTCCTCTTTCCTTCAGGCCCTTCTTCCCACACCCCTTCACTTTTTCCTCTTCCTCTCCTGTTCTCTCTCTCTATGTGTGTACATCCATCTCCTTCCTTCCCTCTACTTCTCTCATTTTTCTTATCTGCCTATTTGTTTCATTTCCTTCCTCCTATCCCCTCTGCTTCTGACAAGTCTTCCCCCCCTCTTCCCTCACCCATTCTTTCTTTCTCCTTCCCTCTTGTTCCTTCTTCTCCATCTCCATTGCCCTCTCACTCATCCTTTATCTCTCTTTAAGTTTTTCCTTCTATTCCTCCCCCTTTCCCCTCATCTTGTCCCCCTGTTCCTTCTCTTCTTCTTGCTTTCTCTCTCTCTTTTTCATCTTTTCTTCCTCTTCTTCTACTCTCTTATGGCAGATACACTTACTTTCTCCAGACACGAGTATGATGTCATCCACATGTTTAACTTCAGCATTTTTATAAATGTATTCACAGAATTTCTGACACTGAGCCATGAAGCTAGGGGTGAGCTCTTCCTCATCCATCTTCTGAAGAACGTTTTTATCTCCTGATGGAAGGTCAAACGCAAAACATTTGCGGGTGTTGAAATACATCCGAATGGCGTCTCTGCTCCGATTGCGCTCTTGTATCTTTGAGTTCTCCTCTGTACCCTCCACTTGAAAGAACAGAACAATGCAAAATCAGAAACACAACAAAAATATTGGTCATAAAGAAGAAAAAACATCATAAAATAGAGATTTTTCTTCACTTCCTGTCCTGGTAGCACAATAGAAAATGAGAAGATGTCTCCCCAAAACGAATGAAGTTCCCATCTTGGAGAGTTGTCATAGGAACATGTATCCCATTGGAGGATTTTCTTTAACTTCTAACCCTTATCTACTCTTTCCAAAAAAATAAGTGTTTTTAACTACACTTAAAATATGTATTAGCTTTCAGCCAGCCAAGTCAAGTCAAGCCTGCACTGGAAACTGACGGTTGACGAATATCTTAAATTCACAGTTAAAAACAAATCAAATTCTAACTGAAACCTGATGACATAACCCAGGGGTGGGCAAACTTTTTGACTTGAGGGCCGCAATGGGTTCATATATTGGACCCGGGGGCCGGACCAAGAGTAGATGAATGATGTGTATGTGTCATCCATAGTAAGTATAGTAATATTCCCCCATAGTAAGCATAGTAATTAATCCCCCATATAGTAATTCATCCCCCGTAGTAATTCATCCCCCATATAGTAATTCATCCCCCATAGTAATTCATCCCCCAGAGTAATTCATCCCCCATATAGTAATTCATCCCCCATATAGTAATTCATCCCCCATAGTAATTCATCCCCCATATAGTAATTCATCCCCCATATAGTAATTCATCCCCCATAGTAATTCATCCCCCATATAGTAATTCATCCCCCATAGTAATTCATCCCCCCATATAGTAATTCATCCCCCATAGTAATTCATCCCCCATAGTAATTCATCCCCCATAGAGTAATTCATCCCCCATATAGTAATTCATCCCCCATATAGTAATTCATCCCCCATAGTAATTCATCCCCCATAGTAATTCATCCCCCATATAGTAATTCATCCCCCATAGTATTTCATCCCCCATATAGTAATTCATCCCCCATAGTAATTCATTCCCCATAGTAATTCATCCCCCATAGTAATTCATCCCCCATAGAGTAATTCATCCCCCATATAGTAATTCATCCCCCATAGTAATTCATCCCCCATATAGTAATTCATCCCCCATATAGTAATTCATCCCCCATATAGTAATTCATCCCCCATAGTAATTCATCCCCCATATAGTAATTCATCCCTCCTATAGTAATTCACCCCCCCCTATAGTAATTCATCCCCCATATAGTAATTAATCCCCCATATAGTAATTCATCCCCCATAGTAATTCATCTCCCCCATATAGTAATTCATCCCCCATAGTAATTCATCCCCCCTATAGTAATTCCCCCCCCTATAGTAATTCATTCCCCATATTAAGTCCCCAAGTCCCCCCTGTGTCAATTCACTTACCTTTGCTCCGCGCGTTCCTCTCGCCGTGTTCCGATGTAGCATGAAAATCTGTCTCTCTATGAGGATCTGTCCCCCTCGACGTATCTGCGCATGTGCTAGTTTCAGGCATTAGCAGCCGATCGGCGATCTCCGGCACATGCGCAGATACGTCGGGGGGGACAGATCCTCATAGGAGACAGATTTTCATTGGCGGACTGTGAGAGGAGCCTAGCGGGAGCCTAGCTCCGCGGGCCGGATTAAAAGGTCCGCCGGGCCCATTGCTGACATAACCATTTATCAAAACAAAGGCATTTTGAGAAATTAATGTATGTCACAATTTATTTTATCAAACCCATTGACACCCAACCTGCAACAGTAGCTGAATTATTACTCACGTTCCTCAAGTAGCAGAGCGTTTTCCAGGTACTCATCCTCTGTGATCTCCTTTCCATTCAACTCCAGCATCAAGGTGAAATCTCTCACCACCCAGATGAATGCGGGAAAGTGTCTGGAGAACTGCCCCTCGTTATTCTCATTATCATTAGATTTTACCTTAATCATTTCAGCCAGCTCCCCCACAAAACTAATTTTGAGTTAAGGATGTACAAGTCATGTCTTTGTCTTTGAAGGTCCTGTACGTTAAACCTGGCACAACTCTGGCAGTTCAGACAGAATGTCAAACGATCAGTGTATGAATCTACTAAACAGTTTCAATGAATGCTTGTAAGAGGGTGTTAGAACAGTTCCAAGTTCTGCCATCAGGTGGAATCCTGAGAAGTGTGTGGAATAGAGGGGAATCTGAGTGGAGAATTAGAGTGGAGAGGAGGCAGTTGTGGATCTAGCTCCCTTGGAACTATAGTAGGTGGAGCTCTTTTGGTAGACATGTAGCCCCTGAAGTAAGAGGTGCAGTGATAAGCAATGCAGTGCACAAATGCAGTGCATAAATTGATAATCAGCCAATCACATGGCAGCAACTTGCATTTAGGCATCTAGATGTGGTGAAGATGACTTGCTGAAGTTCAATCTGAGCATCAAAATGGGGAAGAAAGGGGATTTAAATGACTATGAATGTGGTTTTTGGTGCCAGACGGGCTGGTCTGAGTATTTCAAAAACTGCTGATCTACTGGGATTTTCACACACAACCATATCCAGAATATCCAGAGAATATCCAGTGAGCGGCAGTTGTGTGGACAAAAAATATTTATTTATTTCAGGTACTTATATTGCGCCATCAATTTACAAAGCACTTTACATATATATATATATTGTACAATCACATCAGTCCCTAACCCTCAAGGGGTGTACAATCTAAGGTTCCTAACTTACATTCATACATACACACACTAGAGCTAATTTAGAAAGGAGCCAATTCACCTACCAGCATGTCTTTGGAGTGTGGGGGGAGACCAGAGTACCCAGCGGAAACCCACACAGGCTCAGGGAGAACATGCAAACTCCAGGCAGGAGGTGCCGTGGCTGGGATTCGAACCAAGATCCTAATACTGCCAGGCGGAAGTGCTAGCCATTTAGCCACTGTGCTGCCCTGTGATGCCTTGTTGATATCAGAGGTCAGAAGAGAATGAGCAGACTGGTTGCTGCGACATTCAGAGGATAGGGTCAGAATTTGGTGTAAACTACAAGAAAGCATGGATCCATCCTGCCTTGTATCAACAGTGCAGGTTGGTGGTGGTGGTGTCATGGTGTGGAGGATCCATCCTGCCTTGTATCAACAGTTCAGGCTGGTGGTGGTGGTGTCATGGTGTGATGGATCCATCCTGCCTTGTATCAATGGTTCAGGCTGGTGGTGGTGTCATGGTGTGGGGGATCCATCCTGCCTTGTATCAACAGTTCAGGCTGGTGGTGTCATGGTGTGGGGGATCCATCCTGCCTTGTATCAATGGTTCAGGCTGGTGGTGGTGTCATGGTGTGGGGGATCCATCCTGCCTTGTATCAACAGTTCAGGCTGGTGGTGGTGGTGTCATGGTGTGGGGGATCCATCCTGCCTTGTATCAATGGTTCAGGCTGGTGGTGGTGGTGTCATGGTGTGGGGGATCCATCCTGCCTTGTATCAATGGTTCAGGCTGGTGGTGTCATGGTGTGGGGGCTCCATCCTGCCTTGTATCAATGGTTCAGGCTGGTGGTGTCATGGTGTGGGGGCTCCATCCTGCCTTGTATCAATGGTTCAGGCTGGTGGTGGTGTCATGGTGTGGGGGATCCATCCTGCCTTGTATCAACAGTTCAGGCTGGTGTTGGTGGTGTCATGGTGTGGGGGATCCATCCTGCCTTGTATCAGTGGTTCAGGCTGGTGGTGGTGTCATGGTGTGGGGGATCCATCCTGCCTTGTATCAATGGTTCAGGCTGGTGGTGGTGTCATGGTGTGGGGGAAATTTACTTGGCAATAACAAGGTGGAGCTAATAAAGTGGCCGGTGAGTGTATATTGCTGTCTCAGGAAGAGGAGATCCATGCTAACAAAAATATGGGCAGGAGGCCTGTTAGCACCATACAAAGAGGCTACATTGTACCTATATCTTCTTGGCACCTCCTGCATGGTGACCACACATTACTTTTATTTTTTTGGATCATCGAAGTGGAGGTGACGCAGAGCAGAAGTTGGATGGTGACACTGGGAGTTACTATGCTTACTATATTCATTATGAAATTGTGTCAGTGGTCTTTTTTGTTGTTTGGGTGACATAAATAAACTTTACATTTGTAACCATCATCTTAAAAAAATATAACTGTTTTTTTTTTTATTTTAAGTTTATATATTTTTAACTGGCATTTCCATTTTCCTTTTACCTAGTGTATAAAATGTTTAATCTATGAGTAAATATTTAATACGGGCTACATACGTGACATGGACAATGCTGCAATTCTTCTTACATATGGGTTCCTCGCTGACAGCTGAAACATTAAAGAATGTTTTCACTACTAAAATACCACATGACTTAATAATAGGACTCAGGCCATATTTTAGCAGCTGAAATGCGGTAATATACCGCTTAGTAAATTGTCCCTGTTTCGAAGTTGACGGTCAAACTTTCCTTAGATTCGAATGTTTGACCATGAACTGAACAGCGGGGTGTTTGGCCCATCACTATTTTTAGAGTCATGAGCACTGGGAACAGGGGACCTAAGGAACCAAAGGCTCCTTTGGGGGTGGGTGCTATGCAGGGACAGACTGACAACTCATGGGGCCCCCGGGCAATAGGGGATCATGGGGCTCCTGTGTCCTCACCCACACTCAAATCACACCAAAAAAAGCCTATGAAAGGTACCAGGGACATCTCTGGGGGGCCCCTACTGACCCCGAGCCCTCAGGCAGTGCCCGAGTTCCCCAATGGTCAGTCCGCCCCTGGTGCTATGAAACATTCTGGACCTAACTAAGAGAGTAGCCAGCAGCACAAGGGACATTTTGCATTGAATATAAGTGCTGTCTCTTGTGATGACTTTAAAGGGCACTGGAATGTGAAGGATACCGGAGCTTCTCAACTGCATCTTCATCAATGGTTCCTCGGCTGTTGTAGACCAGGACGCTGCTCAGCAAGACCGACAGACAAAAAATTCTCAGGTCATTTTTCTTGTCTCCCTGTAAAACAACCGTGTCCAAGTTACTCAGATTTACTGCTCAAGTGTTGAGGCTGTTAAATTAGAGTTTTCTTAATAAGAGGGCTTTGGGAAGTGGACCTGAAAGCAGCAATACTGCTTCTCTGCGAAGGAACTCAGAGTTCTTCTCAATCTTTGGGACATTCTACAATTCATAATAGAGATAACAGGAAAATTTGTTACTGATGCTTATTGATTTGTATATTTTAATGCACATGCTATAAACATAATTTTGCTACTGATGAGACAGTGATTTAACCTCCCTGGCGGTATGATTATGTCAGGAATTTTGTACCAAAAGCGGTACCATTTTTTTGCATGGAAATTTGGTGTTATGTATTGTAGGCCTGCAATTCTTAGTAATTACTTACTAAATAAATACTCATGAAAAATAATAATATAATAATAATAAATGTAATTCAATAATATAATCAAACCAAAAACACTGAAATGTGAAATAGAGCGCCGAGTTCGCACATCGCTGAGCAAAGTCGCAGAATCGTTTTCAGTGTCTGATGATGAATTTCCCCCACGAATCATTATCACTCAATTCTGCAAGTGGTTCTGATTTACTATCGCTGTTCTCTAGCCGGTCTAAAACCGCTTTTGACCTAAATGGACGCTTTTTGGACGCCGTGGACTTTTCTAAGTTTCCAGGCAGAAAGAACAGTCAAAATGCAGGCAGGGCGCCGGACAAAGCACTCGGGACAAAATGTATGTGAAATGCTTTGATACAGGAATGTTTTGCTATGTAATAATCGTTTTAAAAAAAAATGTCATTTTTTTTTTACATTTTCAAATTTGCCACCGGTTCCGGCGCCCGTACGTCCCGACGTCACAGGGCCTGGAACACGGAAGCCGGATGCCGGCATCGGCCGGAGGAGATGACCGGGGACGCTGCAGGGGACGCATCGTGGGAGCAAAGGACAAGGTAAGCGCTGCAGGGAATCCCTGAGCAACGCCGCATGGTAAGCCCGAGTGTAGCTCATGGTTACCGCTTTTGGTACTGAAACTTTACCACGAGCTGCACTCGGGAATACCACCAGGGAGGTTAAAGAGTAACTCCACTTTTGTAGTTGTAAAAAAAAAACCTCCCCTATGGGTGATCAATGCACACTGCAGGGAGTTTAACACACTTTGTAGCAGATTCCTACCTGTTTCCTTACCTGCTAAACACGGGAGGGGCTGGTTCATTATAATCACTTGGTTCACTCTCAGTGTTCTAATGAGAAAAGTTAGTGTCTTCATCCCTTTAGAAGTATTTCACCCTTGGGGAGTATCTCACCAAATCTCCTACTGTACAAGATGCCTAAAATCAGACTTTATTTGCTTTATTTTGTTGCATGAACGTGGAGCTACCTATTAAATGGACACATAGCGGGAGATTTACTAAGACTGGAGTGAACAAAATCTGGTGCAGCTCTACATACTAACCCATCAGCTTCTAGATTGTCAAAGAGTTTCTAAAGGTTCAATTGTTTTTCTTAAAATAATAACACATCATACTTACCTACTCTGTGATCCTCCTCTTCTCGGGTCCCCTGCTGGCTTTTCTGACCCCTCCCCCTTGTTGAGTGCCTCCACTAGCAAACTGCTTGCTCTGGGGCACTCATACGTGCTCACTCTTGTGTTGCCTCTATGTGTCTATGGGATACACAAAGCATGGTTCAGTCCTACGCCCTGCTCCCTCCTCACTGGCTGTTATTGACAGCAGTGGGAGGAGGAGCCAATGAGGAGGGAGAGACCCAGTAGAGCCGCTGATCTGGTGCACATCGCTGGATTGGGATTGGCTTGGGTAGGTACTAGGAGGGCTGTGGGGTGGGGGGCTGCACACTGAAGGTTTTTGATCTTCCTGCATAGAACTCATGAAGGTTAAAAACTTTCACCCTTTACAACCATTTTATTTAAACAAGCTGAAGTTAGAAGCTGATTGGCTCCCATGTACAGGCACCAGATTCTGAGTGCTCCAGTTTTAGTAAATCTCCCCCTTATTGTATATGAGAGCTGGTCTACCTCCCAAGGATGCATATTCCTATTATTCAGAAACCCTTACCAGACAGGCATATCTATAACTTTAATTTTTTCCTCTACAGATTACTAATATACTGTAACTCGGTCACCGATCCACTAGAGCCTACTGATTGGACAATGAAAAGATAAAAGCACCACATGTGATCTTTGAGTACGGTGATCTGTAATGGGCGGAGTGAGGAGAGAACCAATATAACTACATCATCTGTTCTGATTAGTAAAAGAGAAAATTTGATCAAAACTTACTTTACGGACATCCCCCAGACCTTCTGTGTCCAGCAGGACCAGCGTGTGCTCCTTCATTGTGGGATGGGGGACACACCACATCCAGATACCTTTGGTCTTTGCTTGCACAGCAGCACTGAGCTCGAAACCTGAAAGCACAGGACATATCCAAATACATATGGCAATTCTTACGGTAAACCTATGGGCCCATTCACATTTCTGAGTTGTGGTATTGCATGGTAATGCACATGTTACTACCTCTTCACTTCATACTCCACTGATGTCTATGAAGATAAATCCCAAAAAACAGTTCTGGGTAATGTCAAGGTTAATAGGAAATATACAGTACACTCACCGGCCACTTTATTAGGTTCGCCTGTTCAATTTGTAAAAAAGAAAAAAAACCTCAGCACCCAGGACTCTCTTAGTACACACACTATTCCCCATGAGATGCTGCTGTACATAGGTGCAAAAACCAAGAAAACGTAAATCAATTTATACCAGCACAAACCCACAAAACAATAAATTACATCACCCAACCCATAAAATTAATAAATGGTAAATATTACAAACTTAAAAAACTGTGACACAAAAAAGTTTTTTGTTTTTGAAATATTAATGAAAAAATATATGATTTAAAATTAATAAGTCCAGTGACAAAAATCCCAAAATAACAGTCCCGTGAAAAAATTATATTTTATTTTCATTGGATTCTTCCGTGCCTGTGATACCTCCACCATCCACCAGTGCAAAACCAACATTAACCGCACTCACCAGATAATGGTGAGTCAAATGCCTTTCAGGGATATTAAGGGCTCCTGGACCCCCTTTACTTTGTATATGACCTCCAAATATTGCCTCCTCTAGGATATGGATACCTCCTCTGGTTACTCCTCTCACCGGATCCCCCAAGGAAAATCAGGAAGAAGAAAAGACCATAGTGTGATACCGTAGTGATTTCCAATCAAAAGACTTTCTCCAGAGCACTCACATTTTAGCAGAATTTAACCCGCATTTTATTGAAACAAAACGATCTTTCTTAAAAACAATCTTTCTTTCATATACAGCTACTTCTATATAGAGACCCCACAGCCAGGTATACAGCAGGATGACAGACCTCAGATGCAGACTCATCCACTATGCAAAAATGGCCCCTTGGAACGCACCGCTCGGCGTGCGTTCCATTCACCGGAAATGACGTCAGACGCCGGAACAGGCAACCGGAAATACGTCAACACGTTTCGCCCCACCCACAGGGCGTTATCAAGACCTGATATCAAGAGTCTTGATAACGCCCTGTGGGTGGGGCGAAAACGCGTTGACGCATTTCCGGTTGCCTGTTTTCCGGCGTCTGACGTCATTTCCGGTGAATGGAACGCACGCCGAGCGGTGCGTTCCAAGGGGCCATTTTTGCATAGTGGATGAGTCTGCATCTGAGGTCTGTCATCCTGCTGTATACCTGGCTGTGGGGTCTCTATACAGAAGTAGCTGTATATGAAAGAAAGATTGTTTTTAAGAAAGATCGTTTTGTTTCAATAAAATGCGGGTTAAATTCTGCTAAAATGTGAGTGCTCTGGAGAAAGTCTTTTGATTGGAAATCACTACGGTATCACACTATGGTCTTTTCTTCTTCCTGATTTTCCTTGGGGATCCGGTGAGAGGAGTAACCAGAGGAGGTATCCATATCCTAGAGGAGGCAATATTTGGAGGTCATATACAAAGTAAAGGGGGTCCAGGAGCCCTTAATATCCCTGAAAGGCATTTGACTCACCATTATCTGGTGAGTGCGGTTAATGTTCATCTGTTCAATTGCTTGGTAACACAAATTGCTAATCAGCCAATCACATGGTAGCAACTCAATGCATTTAACCATGTAGATGTGGTGAAGACGACTTTCTGAAGTTCAAACCGAGCATCAGAATGGGGAAAAAAGAAGACGTTGAACGTGGCATGGTTGTTGGTGCCAGATGGGCTGGTCTGAGTATTTCAAAAACTGCTGATCTACTGAGATTTTCACGCACAACCGAAAAAGAGAAAGTATATAGTGAATGGCAGTTGTATAGAGGAAAATGCCTTGTTGTCAGAGGTCAGAGGAGAATAGGCAGATCGGTGCGGCGGCTGCCGCATTCAGATGGTAGGGTCAGAATTTGGCATAAATAACATGAAAGCATGGATCCATCTTTTGGTTCAGGCTGGTGGTGGTGGTGTCATGGTGTGGGGGATCCATCCTGCCTTGTATCAGTGGTTCAGGCTGGTGGTGGTGGTGTCATGGTGTGGGGGATCCATCCTGCCTTGTTTCAGTGGTTCAGGCTGGTGGTGGTGGTGTCATGGTGTGGGGGATCCATCCTGCCTTGTATCAGTGGTTCTGGCTGGTGGTGGTGGTGTCATGGTGTGGTGGATCTATCCTGCCTTGTATCAATGGTTCAGGCTGGTGGTGGTGGTGTCATGGTGTGGGGGATCCATCCTGTCTTGTATCAATGGTTCAGGCTGGTGGTGGGTGGTGGGTGTCATGGTGTGGGGGATCCATCCTGCCTTGTATCAGTGGTTCAGGCTGGTGGTGGTGTCATGGTGTGGGGGGATCCATCCTGCCTTGTATCAATGGTTCAGGCTGGTGGTGGTGTCATGGTGTGGGGGAGATTTTCTTGGCACTAGCAAAGTGGACCTAATAAAGTGGCCGGTGAGTGTATTTTCCAAATAAGATCAAAAATCATGATTGGTGATGGATTACATTGCTGGATAACGTGATTAATATAGATTACCTCGTTGGACATCCTGAATGAGGTGGAATTACTTTGGGGGGTAATAATAGACTTGTGCTTGTGTTTTACTTTTAATTAAATGAATTTTTTCATGTGCTGGTGTGGTGTGTTTATTTACTTTTAATTATTTATGGGAATGGATAAATGGTACTTTTGTACCCTTATACTTATTCCCCTGAGAGGGTGTAAATATCTGGGAGACTTCTTTTTTTGAGGCACCTTCTTCCTGGGACACCAGAAGAGGGGAGGAAGCCATTGTCTCCCAATGGTAGGATTAGGTGTTTTGTAAGGAGAAGACTTTGCTGCTTCCCATAATTGCATGGTTTGCCCACCCCCCCCCAATGTTAAAAGGCATGTGGCCTACTCTGGTATAGGAAGGGGGAGCTGTGCACTCACTGCCGTCCTCCAGGCCACCTAGGCTTCATGTCTGGATAAAAGTCTAATTGGAATTTTAAATTGGTTATAGAGCCTAAACATTTTTTACCTTAATGCATTCCTTGCATTAAGGGAAAAATGTTTAGCATTCAAATTTGGCCCCTCACCTCCCCTTATACTTACCTGAGCCCTCATTTGAACCAGCTTTGTGCAATGTCTGCAGCTTTTCTATCCCTTCACTTCCATGTCTCACTGGCTTTTCTGGGGCACCGGGAGCCATTGGCTCCCACTGCTGTCAATCAAAGCCAGTGATGAGGGAGCAGGGGGGCATGGCTGAGTCCCGTTGTCTGTGTCAATAGATGCACCAGCAGGGCTCGGGAGCAAGCACGCATGAATGCACTCACTGTAAGCAGCTTCCTACGGGGGCACAAGAGAGGAGGAGCCAGGAGTGCTGACGGGGGACCTGAAAAGAGGAAGTTTGAGGCCATTCTGTATAATTGCATTGCACAGAGCAGGTAAGTTTAGAGATGTTTATTTTTTCTTTTTTTTTTTCTTTTCCAACTTTTAAAATTTTCGTTTACAATCACTTTAAGATGAACCACATGCTGTTTTATTTTCAAATACTAATCACAAGGGCCAATACTTTCTTCCAGTGAGATGTGTCCCTTGTGCTCCTGTGTCCTCCTTTGGCTGAAACTTTCCTCCTCCGAAGCCTCCACCACCATTATTGTAATCTTCTGGTGTGTATGTGTGTGCGTGTGTGTGTGTGTGTGTGTGTGTGTGCGTGTAGGGGGGGGGTTAATAGATCTAAGGGGCTGTCACAGGCACTCACCAAGAGAGCCAGTCTATGCCCACTTTTCCACCCAGTTTATCCATTCATAGAACCTGAAACTATAGCTTCTATGAATGTAAAAGTGACCTATGACTGGAGAACAGGCAGGTGATTGGTAGGTCCATCCCCTCCATTCATATATCCTGCTCCATTCATAGAAGCTGTAGTACAGTTTCTATGAACATAGCCGCAGGGCAGAAGGGGTGGGCATATTGTCAGGGTCTGTTGATGAGTGCCCGTCTCAGCCCCTTAGCTCTATTTACTCCTGCCAGTGGGGAAGGGGGGTGGAGGGGCATACGGGGGGGGGGCATTGCAATGAAAGGAGGACACAGCAGCACGAAGAACACATCTTACTGAAGGTAAGTAGTAACATCCCTTCTGTTGATTTTCTATTTTTTTTTTTTCATTTTAGGTAAACTTAGGATTTGGAATGTTGAAATTGTTTTGCTTTATTAGTTTAATGAATGCAAAAACAATCTGCTGGTCCTGCCAGAAATTCATATCAGGCCTGCGCCCTGTTCTCTCTTCCTGTGTTATCTTAAAGAGTCCAATCATCCCCCAGTTCTTACCTTGGACTACAATGCCTTTCCCTATGTTGTGGAAATGCGGTGGGTGGGATTCTGTAATTAAGCAAAACAGAACTGGGCAGGGCTGACACCATTTCTTGTCATTTCAGTCAAGAATAGGTGCAGTGTTGTCAGACCGTGACAGCAAATTAAACTCTGAGGACATTTTTGGCAGATGAACATGTACTTGCAGAATCTTTAAAGGAATACAACATGGTGAAAGGGGCACACATGACAGAGATGTACGACACATGTTTTTTTTTATTTTGCACAGACACACACAGTTTAATAGGACAATCTGTTGGCAGCGGTCCTCTCACCTTTTTGAATGCCAGCCAATTTGTTCATCATATAAGACTTTCCAGTACGATACATCCCCAACAATGGCCACCACAACCAATGGCTGATTGATCTTGGACAAGATTTCTACCGCTTCAAACGTTGACCTGGAAACTTCCATCTTGGAGATTTTCAATCAGACACACTGGAGCCTCCATTTTATATCCTACCTAAAAACAAACAGACATGTAAATTATAATGAAAGTGGTAGTAAAGCCACTTTGTTCATTTTTATCTACAGCTAACCTGTCGGTAAAATGAACATCTTCTAAACACGCACCGTTTAGGAGATATTGTTTTATTTTTAACAGCTGGCGCATGTGCTCTGAAGGAACGGCATACCTGTGCCATTCCTCCCGAGCACTGTGCTGTGCCCCGAGACTCCTGTGCGCATGCGTGAGAGTGACGTCATCACGGGTCAGCCAGCCAGATGGCCAGAGCTCGCCAACACGGAAGGAAGACGAGGTAAAGATGGAATCCTCTACAGCTGCGCCACTGGAGGACTTTGTTTTAAAATTTATGTAATGTGCTAGTATGCGATGCATACTACCACATTATATCTTTACCTTGAGGGGGATTTTTTAATTTTTTTTTTACGAGGTTTATTACCGCTTTAAAGTGTATCTAAAAAAAAGCACTTATTGATCTATTTATAACCAATTTGCCACATGATTTGTACAAATAAAGTATTGATATATTCATTCTGGGTGAAATAACCACTTGTCTAGCAGGAAAGGTTTTTTAACCACTTCAAGTCAGGACTGTTTCACCCTCTTCCCGCCCAGGTCATTTTTTCCGATTTCAGCACTGTCACACTTTGAATGACAATTACTCCGGCATACAACACTGTACCCACATTTATTTTATATAATATTTCGAGACAGATAGATTTTTGTGGTATTTAATCACCACTGGATTCTGTATTTTTTGCTACATATAGGAAATAAAGACAACATTTTGAAAAAAAAAACAAACATTTTTTCCTAGTCTTTGTTATACATTTAGCAAATAAATAATCTTCCTTCATATATTTAGACACAAATGGATTCTGCTACATTTCTTTAGTAAAATAACCCAAATCACTATATACATTTTTAGTCTGTGTGAAAGATACAAGTCTACGATATGGTACTATATATATTTGGAAATCGATCATTCCTGATGTACTGATATGTCTTGAGGCCCTTAAATTCTAGGACAGTACAAATACCCCCAAATGACCCCATTTTTGGATAGTTGTGGACACTTCAAGACTGGTGTCGTCTAGTCTTGTATGGTCGGCTGTGGTGTCTGTTGTCGGTGTTCGGCCGGGGAAGTGGTATTCTAACGGAAGTACAAATTTGTGCATTGGCAGATGTTTCCTCTGCCTGAATGCATAAAGGAGCCCAAAATCCAAGGAGCACCTTCAAGCTTTTAAGGGGTATAATTAATGCATCTGGTTGGTCTGGTAACACTTGGACTGGTGTGGTGACAAACATAAACACTGTTGCTGTCTTCTACTGGTCTGGTGACACTGAGGACCGGTATGGCAGCAATCAGGAACAATGTTGCTGGATTACACTAGTCTGGTGACACTGGGACTGGTGTGGCAGCAATAAGGGACACTGTTGCTGGTTTCACTGGCTGTGGCGACACTGGCACTGGTGTGGCAGTGGTCATTGTAACAGAACCGACCCAGACTGCACTTGGGTACTTCCTTTAGAATACCACTTCCCCATCTGAACACCGACAACAGACACCACCATACAAGACTAGACGACACCAGTCTTGAAGTAAACCAGGAGGTAGACTAGTTTATTTGAACACAGATACAAGATATATACACTCAGGAGACAATCCCCCCTCCCTGCATAATGACACAGGGCGGGGCAATCTACATTTAGCAACAAGAGACATACAAGTATTCAAACTTCACACCTGCAGACAGTCCCATCAGCAGGAGGGCTGCTGGAGACACCCCCCCCCCCCCCCCACTAAGCTAATACACATATACACATACATCCCAATAATATTTTTCTCCCAAACAATAGAACAATGGGATGCAGCCACGTAACATTAAAAAAATCAACAATCCCCCCCCATATCTCCTAAACATGTCTACAGTCGGATACAAAGCCCACACAATATTAGGACAGATCACCCTGTACCCCTAACAGGCACAGGGTGACTTACACATAAGAGGGATATGGGGAGCTGAGACAGGGGTCTCCCACCTCTCCAAAGTGAGCTGTGTTCCATGGGCCCCCCACTCAAAGTGACTCCCCATCACAGTCAGGAATGCTGTTGCAGGCTTACACTGGTGTGGTGGGGAATCAGGAACATTGTAGATGTCTCACATTGGTCTGCCAACACTGGGGGCTGGTGTGGCAGTGGTCTTGAACACGATTGCTGGCATACACTGCTGTATGGTGACACTAGGACTGGTGGTGGGGGATCAGGAACATTGTTTCTGTCTCACATTGGTCTGCCAACACTGGGGACTGGTGTGGCAGTGGTCTTGAAACACGTTTGCTGGCATACACTAGTTCTGGTGAAATAAGACTCGGTGTGGCGGTGATCAGGAACAAATGTTGTTTGAAATACTTCAAGATTTCACTTGCTTTTAACATTCAATTTTAGAGAGAATAGGACTGGTGGAGATTCCAGAACGAAAAACCACATTCACTGTTAGAATCTTGTTCACTGGTTGGCAAATCTTGAAATGGTAATTTTAACATTGGGAGGAAACTATGTAATCTTAGGTCGCTGAAGGAGAGACACAGACAGAGCCACACAATGATTGGAAAGAGGAACATCTGGAAAAAAACTCCATTCTCTCTAAAATTGATGTTTTGAGAAAACAATTCCACATTTTTTCATCACTGCGGGCCAAAAAACGAACGTTGATTTGACCCGAATAATAAATAGAAATTCGAACAAAAATGTTTGTAAAATTAAAACGTTTAAACACAAAATTCTGCTAATGAATGGGCAGCTTTAAAGTTGTCACCAGAACAGGGGATGAGGGGCGAGCTTTCAGTCAAGACACTTGTTCTGATGACAACTAAGAGGGGATTTCTCTAACAACTGGCTGTTGCCTTTGTACAAAATGGGAACATTGCAAATAAATAAATAAATAAATAAATACACTGACAGGGTTTCTAACCCTCCACTATACAATACAAAATTTCCTTTGGTTTGACTTTTATGTGTGCTGGTATTTACGTTGAATACAACATAACACAAATGGTGATGCTTTGCTATGTGTTGTGATGAAGGAGTTAATTGTTTCTGAGTTCCTCCCGTGTAGTGCCCTCCAGGAAATATCTCTGCCATTTCCTTTGATATGGTTTCCTGTGTTTGCTGATGGATAGTATGTGTGCTGGTAAATGTCAAGCTGCTTTCTGGGGGAGGTTTTTAAAAAAGAAAATGTTCATATTCCTCCCCCATTAGAAGTTGATGCCACTTTACATAGTTATACTGTATATATAGTTGGTAAGGGGAATGAAGACACCAGGCCATCCAGTCCAACCTGTGTATGTGTTCATGTCACCACCATTCTCTATATTCCCATACATTGTGTTTGCTGAGAATCACATCTAAGGTGGATGAGTTGACTGCCTGAGTTCAGGATAGACTGAAGCGGGGATATAGTCTGTGATGAGGTAGGCCAGTGAGGAGGGAGTTGCAGTAGTGTCCAGACATGAGATAATAAGGGATAGGTGTGAACGTGGACGTTGTTTAGTAGTGTCTGGGGGTAGGGAATGTACGTTATTTTGGAGATGTTGCGGAGGTGGAGCCTGCATGAGTTTGCCAACGATTGGACATGGGGTTGGAAGGACAGGTTTGAGTCTAGAGTGACACCTAGGACTTTGGCTTGTGGGGTGGGACTTATGGTGGCATTGTTTGTCATGATGGAGAGGGTGGGGGGGGGGTGCGGGCTGGGAGGGAAAATCAGGAGCTCGGTTTTGGAAAGGTTCAATTTGAGGAAATGGAGCGTCATCCAGTCTGATATGTCGTTCAGTAGGTGGGTGATACGGGCGGAGACTGAAGGGGTGAGGGCGAGGGGTGGAGAGGTAAATTTTGCGTGTCATCGGAGTTTATATGTCTTTAATGCTTTAACAGTAAAGAACCTCCTACACAGCTTCAGACTGAACCACTTCTCTTCCAACTTCATTGTGTGGCTCTGTCTGTGTGTCTCCTTCAGAGACCTAAGATTACATAGTTTTCCTCCGAATGTTAAAATCACCATTTCAAGATTTGCCAACAGTACATTTACTGCTGGTGGGCGACTCCCCTAGGCACTAAGGTGACACTGAAATACTCTGATGAGAGTATGTCAAAAAAAATTGTAACACTCCCCCCCCCCCAAAAAAAAAAAATCTTAAAAAAAAAGTTAAAAAAAAGAAATAAAAACTATTTACTTTTTATTTCTTTTTATTGCACACTGTTGCCAGGCAGTATCCCTGCTCACCCGCCACAACCAGTCTTGTGATGATGCTGTACTGCACTGATGGCAGTATGTAAAAAAAAAATGATTACATTTACTAATTTTCTAAAAAATTGTGTTTAAAAAATGACAACTTCACAAAACTCACCATTCCTAATACTGAAGACCTTGGATAGTCTGCTTTCCAAAAAGAGTTCATTTGGGGATATTTGTACTGTGTACTTCCTAGACTGACATTTGGTGGGATTTGTACTGTCCTGACATTTTGGGGGGATTTGTACTGTGCTGACATTTGGGGGGGATTTGTAGTGTCCTGGCATTTGGGGGGGATTTGTACTGTCCTGGCATTTGGGGGGGATTTGTACCGTCCTGACATTTGGGGGGATTTCTACTGTGCTGACATTTGGGGGGATTTGTAGTGTCCTGACATTTGGGGGGGATTTCTACTGTGCAGACATTTGGGGGGGAATTTGTACTGTCCTGACATTTGGGGGGGATTTGTACTGTCCTGACATTTGGGGGGTATTTGTACTGTCCTGACATTTGGGGGGTATTTGTACTGTCCTGACATTTGGGGGGATTTGTACTGTGCTGACATTTGAGGGGGATTTGTACTGTGCTGACATTTGGGGGATTTGTACCGTGCAGACATTTGGGGGATTTGTACTGTCCTGACATTTGAGGGGGATTTGTACTGTCCTGACATTTGGGGGATTTATACTGTCCTGTCATTTGGGGGGGATTTGACTGTCCTGATATTTGGGGGATTTTTTTACTGTCCTGTCATTCGGGGGGATTTGTACTGTCCTGTCATTTGGGGGGACTTGTACTGTCCTGGCATTTGGGGGATTTTGACTGTCCTGACATTTGGGGGGATTTGTACGGTCCTGACATTTGGTGGAGTACTTGTACTGTACTGGCGTTTTCAGGCCTCAAGTAATGAGGCTGTCAGTACATCAGGATTTTCAGATATATCACATAGTTTGTGGACTCTAATAACTTTTCATACAGACTTGTTTGGGTTATTTTCACCAAAGAAATGTAGCAGAATATTCTTTGGCCTAAATTGATGAAGAGAGATTATTTATTTGCAAAATTTTTATAACAGAAATAAAGAAAAATTTGTTTTTTTTTTTTGTTTTTTTTGTTTTTTCATTTATATATGGCAAAATTAAAAAAAAAAATCAGTGGTGATTAAGTACAACCAAAAGTATGGTGAAAAGCTCTATTTATGTGACAAAAATGATATAAATCACATTTGGGCACAGTGTTGCATGAGTAAGCAATTGCCAGTTAAAGTAGCGCAGTGCAGAGGCCCCTGTGCCAGGAGAGGGAGAGGTCACACAGGTCACTAGCCTCTAAAAAATATGGCAGAGGGAAGTGGAGATGACCACCAGTTTAGTGGGGCAGAACCTCTCCTTTATAAGTAGTGAAATGGACAGCAGGACCGGAAGGGAGAGAGGCAGGTTGCAGTAGGGTTGCCACACATCCCTTTAAAACTGAACACACATTAATCACACAGGTTCTGAGGCTAATTTAATGCAGATAAGGCACTAAGTGAGTTTAATGATCACCTTAATCAGCCACAGAACCCGTATAATTAATTATGTGTTTGGTTTTAAAGGGATGAGGTGGAAACCCGAGGTTGGAGGCATATGCAGAGAGTGGCATTGATAGCTCTTCACTCACTGTTCAGCCCAGAACAGACTGGGAAGAGTGCAGGGAATAGTAACGGGGCAGTCCCCAGCCCAGGTAATGTGCCAGGCAGAGGCGGACTGACAACTCCTGGGGCCCCCAGGCAATAGGGGATCATGGGGCCCCTGTGTCCTTGCTCAAACTCAAAAAAGCCTATGAAAAAGGTACCAGGGGCATCTCATGGGGCCCCCTACTGACCCCGGGCCCTCGGGCAGTGCCCGAGTTTCCAAATGGTCAGTCCGCCCCTGGTGCCAGGAGATCAGGAGATCCTTCCAGAGAGCACATAGCTGGAGCGGGAGAGGATCGCCGGGTAGGACATCTGCGATTACCCGTCCAGGATATCACACAAGCTGTTTCTTTGCAGAGAGGCAACAGAGCTCACAAACTAGATGTGTATTCCATCAGAGCTTTGGGGGAGGTGCAACTAAAATCCGGGGGGTGCAGCCCACCCAAGAGCCCCCCTAGATCCAGCCATGATGCATAAACGTAGTCTGCTAGCTTTGCTATCTGCAGCTCAGTATTGCAGGCTATTGCTGGGCCTGTGCTGTTCATGTTGTCCAAGGAAAGGCAATACATTGGGTCACTCCTGCTGTGTGCTGAGCATCTGCTTTCAATCTGCACTACATCCACCATCCAGTTCTCTGTACTCAGCCAGCAAGAGATTTAACTCTTTGCCGACAATGCTTCACTTGAAAACTGCTTCACACAAGTTTTGTTTTTTTGCCATCAAAGGGTTATGCCCCGTACAGACGATGACAATATTGGACAAATCATCGTCCAGTTTTTCGTTTTCGCATGATAGTCCCTCATATTGAAAGGGGATACTAACATTCTGAAAATTCTTGTACGACAGAAAGAACATTCGGAAGTGATGTAATGTATTGTATTGTATTTTCGGATGAAGACTGTACGGATTAAAGGAAAATCTGGTATTGTACGAGAACAATTTTCATGCTTGTCCCTTTAAATAATTTCGGATGAAAGCTGCATACTAACGATCAGATTATTGTAGTACGGTCGCTTCTAAAGCGGCATTTTGCGTACGATTTTCTGATCGTGTGTATTATCGGGCATTATTTCTCTTCCTAACAAACAATAAGGGCTCATTTGCATCACCTGGTGCTCATTATTGTGCCTATAACATTCATGAGCTGAATAAAGTGCAATGTGAACGTGCGCTCCTTAACTTTTTCTCTCTTTTTTTTTGAACCTCTATGTGAGTTCTATGCACTTCAGCATGCTGCAATACAATCACACACTTTACCCCTTTTTTGCACACTGCGCTGCATGAAGCATGGCTACATTTTTCTCCACTACACTCCAGCTCTTGTGTGAACTGATCACATAGACATCAAGGGATCTGCTTCGTCCAGGGGCGGACTGACCATTTGGAAACTCGGGCACTGCCCAAGGGCCCGGGGGTCAGTAGGGAGCCCCATGAGATGCCCCTGGTACCTTTTTCATAGGCTTTTTTGAGTTTGGGCAAGGACACAGGGGCCCCATGATCCCCTATTGCCCGGGGCCCCATGAGTTGTCAGTCCGCCCCTGCCTGGCACATTACCTGGGCTGGGGGACTGCCCCGTTACTATTCCCTGCACTCTTCCCAGTCTGTTTCTGGGCTGAACAGTGAGTGAAGAGCTATCAATGCCACTCTCTGCATATGCCTCCAACCTCGGGTTTCCACCTCATCCCTTTAAAACCAAAACACATATTAATTACACGGGTTCTGTGGCTGATTAAGGTGATCATTAAACTCCTGTTACCTTTTTTCATAGGCTTTTTTGAGTTTGGGCAAGGACACAGGGGTCCCATGATCCCCTATTGCCCGGGGGACCCATGAGTTGTCAGTCCGCCCCTGGCTTCGTCCTTGTGTTGGGGTCTGCGATAATCAAAGCCAATCTTCACAGTTCAATGCACTAGGTGTGTAGGAGCCCTTGGATGTAGCCACCCCCCCCCCCCCCAACACTCTCTGACACCCCAATTTTTACTTTTACTCACCAATTAGGGAAGATGCAGATGCACCCTCCACCCAGAGCTCTTCACTGCGATCAACAATTGCATTAAAACATTGAAAGTGAAACTTTGTATTGCAGGGATCCTATCATCACTGGAATCCGGAGGAAGGAAGAAGTCACACCCACTAAGATAATGAAATCCTGCTGTAATACTGAGTCTGCTGTTTTCTGTAGGAAGTCTCTCCAACGGAGTCACAAATCAAACAAAAACACATTTCTAGTGGAGTATTGAAGGGTTAGAACTTCTAACCATATCCGGGGCGGACTGATCATTTGAGCACTCGGGCACTGTCCGAGGGCCCTGGGTCAGTAGGGGGGCCCCATGAGATGCCCCTGGTACCTTTCATTGGCTTTTTCATAGGCTTTTTTGGGTGTGGGCGAGGACACAGGGGCCCCATGATCCCTTATTGCCCGGGGGCCCCATGAATTGTCAGTCCGCCCCCGGACCATATATGTATTGCTGTCCATGCCTTCATGTTCAGAATCAATCATCCCCACATCACCCATCCTTGTTCTGTCATCAAAAAGACAAGAATTGATGAATTTCTGCCCAGTGGAGTTACCAAGAGAAATCAAAACCTAAATTAGGAACAAAAAAATATCCTGTACTAAAAAATCTGCAAGTACAGAAAAATATTTGCTGATTTATCAGAAACCCAGTCAGCTCCTAACTTCCTTGGGAACTTAGAGTTCCCCCTATAAAAGATGCATTGTGCCACCTTACGTTGTCCACTAGAAGGTATTTATGGTTGACTATAATGTCAAAACAAGTCCTGGATCTGGATATCCAGGAGGATGTGTCTCATCCTTGATTGCTCACAAGGGTAATTTATAGTGTGGTGTTTAGACAAATCACTCCTGGCCTCCAATGATGTCAGTTGTGACCAAACAGGGAGAGCAGTACATTGTGACGTCACCACGCTAACCGGAACTGGATTTTATTATCATTTATACCTTTTATTGCACTATTGATTTGGACTATATTTGTTTTTTTTATAGCTGCAGTCTTGTTTATTATTTGCTCCTCAATTTCTGTTTGAGCTGATAACAAAGTGCTGCACTGAAATTTCAAGAAGTGTTGTTGGAAGCCCTACCCATTCAACTGGACTACAGATCCCCCCCCCCCCACACACACACACACACATGTTATGAGGATAACGAGAAAAAGGAGGTGCACTGCAGTCCAGCAGGGGAGACCTTAGGCAGGACTGACAACACTGGTGAGAACTGAACCCACCATTTTTTGTCCTTTTGTCACATGGAAAAATATCCTCAATGGAGTTACAGCCACAAATAAAAACCTGAAAAAAATGTCCCACTCTATTGAAAACTAAATATACAGGAACCCTAAAACATGCAGTTGAAGCACACTTCTGTTTTTAATTCCATACAGGTATACATAATAACATCTACAGTATATTTGAGTTCGGATCGAGCAGTGTTTGTCAAACATTGAGTAAAGTTTGGGTATGAAATCTGAACCCATTGAAGTCAAAGGGAACTGAAAACAGTTCTGGCCATTTTCTAGGCTAATAAGCGAGGAACCGATGCAAAAAAAATCTAAATGTGATTTTAGTCATTTTTAAAACATTAAAATATTACATTTAATTAAATAACATGTCTGGGGGGATGTCCTGACCCAGCCTGTAAAGTGGAGCATCACAAAATGTATACAACCTACTTCAGCAACACTGACATTTACAAAGAAAAAGGTGTGTATAAATTGTAATTAAATGACAGTTCCCAGCCTCTTACTTCTCTTTGTAAACAACCGGTTGGGGATTCCCTTCATCTATATAAAAGACCCTTTTCATAGATGAGGGTCTCATATACTGTACATTATATTGCCTATAATATTGGTTTACCTGCCTTTCCACACGCATGAACTTTAATGCCCCCCCAGTCTTAGTCCGTAGGGTTCAATATTGAGTTGGCCCCGCCCTTTCCCACACACATGACCTGTAATGGCCCCCCAGTCTTAGTCCGTAGGGTTCAATATTGAGTTGGCCCCACCCTTTGCAGCTATAACAGCTTCAACTCTTCTGGGAAGGCCGTCCACAAGGTTTAGGAGGGTGTCTATGGGAAGGTTGGACCATTCTTCCAGAAGCACATTTGTCAGGTCAGGCACTGATGTCGGGAGAGAAGGCCTGGCTCACAGTCTCCGCTCTAATTCATCCCAAAGGTGGTCTATGGGGTTGAGGTCAGGACTCTGTGCAGGCCAGTCAAGTTCCTCCACCCCAAACTGGACTTGCGCCTGAGTAACACTTTTACACTTAGCTGTGGTGCCCTGTACCTGCTTGCTATCCATCCTACTTTCACTACTTGCCCTGACCCTTGGCTTCATTCCTGGGTCTCTGAGTCTGCTACCTTCCCTGACCCTTGGCTTCATTCCTGACTATCTGAGTATCTACCTGCCCTGAAGTTTGGCTTCACTCCTGAGTATCTACCTGTCTATTCCTAACTATCGGAGTCGTCTTCTGCAGGCCCTGACACTTGGCTTCATTCCTGATTATCTGAGTCTTCTACCTTTCCTAACCCTGGCTTCATTCCTGACTATCTGAGCGTTCTACCTGCCCTGACCCTTTGCTTTATTCTTGACTATCTGAGTCTTCTACCTGCCTTGACTCTTGGCTTCCTTCCTAACTGAGTCTTCTACCTGTTCTGACCCTTGGCTTCATTCTTGGCTATCTGAGTCTTCTACCTGCCCTGACTCTTGGCTTCATTCTTAACTATCTGAGTCTACTTACTCTGACCTTTGGCTTCACTCCCTGAATATCTGAGTTTTCTACCTGCCCTGACCCCTGGCTTCATTCCTGACTATCTGGGTCTTCTACCTGCCCTGACCCCTGGCTTCATTCCTGACTATCTGAGTCCTCTACCTGCCCTGACCCTTGGCTTCATTCCTGACTATCTGAGTCTTCTACCTGCCCTGACCCTTGGCTTATTCCTGGCTATCTGAATCTTTCTACCTACGCTGACCCTTGACATTTCTGGATATCTGAATATGATGCCTTCAGTACCTGCTACACACATTGAGCAGCCCCTTCACTTGAATGGGCTGCCCAAGGCGCATTTGTCGCCCAAAAGAAGCTCGTGCTCCTTTTTGGCCAACAAGCTTTTCACAATTTTTAAGTGCGCGTTTTGCTGTGATTGCTGCATGATTCTGTCACACAACAATCATGCAAAAATCATACCACGTTTAGGGTGCCATTAACGAATATGGTACCCAAACGAATGTCATGAGTTTGGCCATAAATTAGAATTGCAGGCAAAATTGTGGCGATTCTGCCCGCTGTTCCAAATCACCTAATTTGAATGGAGCTTTATACTTTTTTTTTAGTAAAAATATTGTAACTATATCTGAGAAAAGGTTGTAGATACTCAGTATACTCCTATCAGCTTTTTAGGCATTTTCATGAATGAACTAAGTAAGATGATCATGACTAGGTAAGCTGCTGCCATCTACTGATCACCACCTCGTATTGTATACAAGTAAACAAGTGGATTTTGTGAGATCTTCTTATGTATTTAATTGTATCCTTTTTTTTTTTAAGATGTTTATAATTGCTAGGCTTCTATATGTTTAGAGTACAGTTCTGTATAATTCATATATTTTAATTTCTCAATTTTAATTTAATTGTTGTCCATTTCTATCTAATAATATTTCTATGTAAATATTGTGATACACACACATACACACACAATATATATATTATTATTATACAGGATTTATATAGCGCCAACAGTTTTTTCAGTGCTTTACAATAGAATGGGAGACAACACAGCAACAATACAGTTCAATACAAGAGGGGAAGGAGGGACCTGATATATATATATATATATATATATATATATATATTTTTTTTTTTTTTTTTTTTTTTTCACTTGACACCATACATGTATGTGATTGACACCATACATGTATGTCATTTCTCTCATACATATAAAAATCTGCATTTTGTTACTTAGAAAATTGCCTAGAACCCTCAAACATTGCATTTTTAAACCAGAGGCCCCTAGAGAATAAAGTGGGGGGGTGTTGCATATTTTTATGTCACATAATATTTGTGCAGTGGTATTTGAAACATACATTTTTAGTAAAAATACACTTTGATGAATTTTAGTGCACACAAACACACTATAATACCAATTTTTGGGGTAAAATATAAAAGATATTACGCCGAGTAAATAGATACCAAACATGTCACGCTTTAAAATGTAGCATGCTCGTGGAATGGCACCAAACTACAGTACCTAAAAATCTCCATAGGTGACACCTAAAAAGCCTTTACAGATTGCCAGTTTAGAGTTACACAAGAGATCTGGTGCTAGAATTATTATTCTCATTCTGATGTTACTTAATATGCCTCGCATGTGTGTGGTGTGATAACTGTTTACATATTTGTGTGGGACCTATATGCGTGTTCATCTTTTTGCATTAGCACGGGTGGACAGGGGCACTTTAATTTAATCTGGGACACAGAGCCAATGGTAGACATGGAACACAGGCACATGAATCTGACTGTCAGCAATCTGACAGTGTGGGAACTTATATGATGATGACAGATAACAGGGGCATGTGGGGGATGTGGCTACACGTTTTGAGACAGTAAAGACTCTTTTTCAAACCTTGAAAAAGAGGTGTTACCACCTGGAAACATGTAACCATGCCCCCTACACACCCCAGCATCTCCCCACACTTTCAGATTGCTGATAGTCCAGCTCCTGTGTCTGTGTTCAATCTCTACCATTGATTCTGTATCCAGCTGCCTGGATGTGCAGTATTTCTGCACTGCCTGGGTCCATGGATGACAGTTCTGAGTTTACAAACAAAGGGAGCTAAACACACAAACACAGCAAGCAGGAAAGGCACTTCGCCAAGGAGCAAAACTAATGTCCATATACAGTACAGCCACAATCAAAAAAAAGGGAGGAAACTATATCCAAATCGGCCCGCTATTTAGACCAATATAAATTTGTCCAATCAAAGCCATAAAAAGAAAAAAAGTTGTGTGTGCCCAAAATTCACAGGTCATTTAGTGTGCCCACCAATCGGTTATTCCATTATACTATTCAAATATTACATCATAGGTGATAATATCTCCATAATACTCATTAATTTCAAGAAAAAGAACATAATCAATACATCACAAATATGAACATACAAATTTACAAATAAACATCAAATAGATCAATAAACAAAATATATAAAGAAATATTCATAGACATCTCTATCTAATGGGCTATATGATGGCAAAAAAAAAGGAAGAAAACACAAATATAAAATACCAAACTAGTTGAACACTCAAGGCAAAAAAAGGTTTAAACCTCAATTAGTCATTTAAACCCGGGGGTTGCATTGCCGACAAATTATGTATCCATCTTGCTTCTTTCTGCAAAATACGACAGTCCCGGTCCCTCCCTCTAGGGTCCAAATGGACTCTTTCAAGGACAAAAAATTTTACACATTGTGCATTTTTTTGCATGATACCAAGTGCCATGTCCGCCTATGGGGGATGAAATGTCCCCTGTTTGAATAGCTGAGACATGATCATAAATCCTTTTCCAGAACAGACGCTTTGTTTTACCAATGTAAAAGCTACCACAGTTACATGTCATCATGTAAACCACGCCCACCGTTTGGCAGTTAACATAATGTTGTGCTTTCTGAATTTCCCCATTAGGCTGAGTATGGTTGCTACCTTGGGAGATGAACTGACAGTAGGCACAGCCCCCAAATATAAAGGTACCCCTATGATGTCCCATTTTACCTGACCTCATAAAGTGGCTGTGTACCCGTTCACCTCTGATTTCTACGTTTCTACGATAAGTAATTTCAGGTTTTTCATTCAAAAACATAGCTACACCTGGATGAGACTTTAACAGGTACCAAGATTTGTTCACAATATGATGGATTTGTTACTGTTGTTTATTATATCGCATAATCAATTTCATAGCAGTGACCATCCCTGGATCACAGTCTGGTGCCTGAAAAAATAAGATCTGCACAAGATTGTTGGTTTACTTGAAATATGCTTTCTTTAAAGCGGAGCTCCACCCAAAAGGGGAAGTTACGCTCAGGGGCGGACTGACAACTCATGGGGCCCCCGGGCAATAGGGGATCATGGGGCCCCTGTGTCCTTGCCCAAACTCAAAAAAAGCCTATGAAAAAGGTACCAGGGGCATCTCATGGGGTCCCCTACAGACCCCGGGCCCTCAGGCAGTGCCTGGGTTTTCAAATGGTCAGTCCACCCCTGGTTATGCTTTAAGGCCTGCTCCCCATTAAGGATTGGCACCTTTGGGGAGCGGGTACCTGAATTTGACAGGTACCCGCTCCCACTTCTGGTCCGATCGCCTAGGTGATCGGAAGCGGAAGGTGTCCTCCCTCCCTGTAGTCTTTTGGGACATGTGACAGGTCCCAGAAGACTACAGGACCATTCACAAAGCGCAGCGCTACTCGCACATGTGCAGTGTGTACCCGGCTGTAAAGCCGCAAGCTATCACAGCCGGGTGCCCATACTGAAGGTGCCGGCCTCCTGGAATACAGGACGGCTGGTGAAACGAGCTGCGGGACACACACCCCAGGACCGAGGGACAGGTAAGTGGCTGTTTTTTTAAAAGTCAGCAGCTAGAGTTTTTGTAGCTGCTGACTTTTATTTTTTGATAGGTTGAGTGGAACTCTGCTTTAAGCATCTTTTTAGAGTAACCACGTGCTAAAAGACTTGTTTTTAGAGCATCAGCCTCCTGTTTATAGTCTTCCTGATTGGAGCAATTACATTTGAGAAATAAGTATTGGCTATATGGTATAGACCTGATCAAACTGTGTGGGTGGCCACTATTGGCTGTACGGATCGTATTACCAGCTGTGGCCTTCTGAAATAGAATGGACCCAAAAGTGTGATACTCTCTTATGAAAATCTCAACATCCAGAAAGGAGAAACGCTGAGAATAACAAGTCATTGTGAAAGAGAGATCGAAGTCATTTGTGCCCAATTGTGTAATAAAGGAATCAAGAAGTTCCCTAGTGCAATCCCAGATAATGAGGATGTCATCAAAGTACCTGTTCCAGGAGAGAATGTGGCACAGGTACATTGAGAGAGACTCATCCCCAAAGAGTTGACGTTCCCACCCCCCCAGGTACAGATTGGCGTAGAATGGGGCACAGTCCCCATGGCCACGCGCTGTATCTGGAGGAAATGGGAACCATCAAATGAGACGTAATTGTTGTTCAGAATGTAATCAAGAATTTGTAAAACAAAGGATTTCTAATCAAAAAGGTCTCTACTTCTTTCTTGTAGGAACATATTCACAGTCTCCAATCCCTTACTATGGGGAGTGCTGCTGTAAAGAGCTTCCATATCCAGGGCTACTAGTATGGTTTTCAGATGGAATCTGCAGATCCTTAATAATTTGTAATAGATGAATCGTATCTTTGGTATATGATGGTAAGCAAGTAACACGTGGTCTCAAGTGTGTGTCTACCAGAGTACCAGCATTTTCTGTAAGACCACCATATCCCAAGATAATTGGTCTTCCTGGAGGTCTAATAAAATTTTTTAGAAACTTTGGGGGGTGCCCTCTCTGGAGGGCAAGAATAAGGAATTTAGGATCTTCAGTACAACTCTTTATTTTTCTTCTTTTGCTTTATAGCAAGAGCCAAAAATTGTTTGGAAAATTTAGGTTCTCTTTACAGATGTCCATATTTGTCTTATTGCTGTCTTGATCTCTTGGTTCCTCAAGGTATAAATGAAGGGATTCAATAGTGGGGTGAGAACTGTATAAAGCAGCGATAGAACTTTGTTTGCCTCCAATGAATGCCCAGGTGGGACCTCATAATAGACCATGATCAAGGTAGCATAGTACATGGAAACCACTCCGAGATGGGAACTGCAAGTAGAGAAGGCTTTCTGTTTCCCCTTTGATGAAGAAATCCCGATGATGGCTTTGATGATGAACCCACAAGTAACTATGATTAGGAGAAATGGGAACACAGTGGCTGTAGATGAAAGCAAAGACACAACTACTTGAACAGTGGAAGTGTCCGAACAAGAAAGACTCAGCAATGGAACAAAGTCACAGAAGAAATGATCAATAATATTTATGCTGCAAAAATTCAAGGTTGTCAAGAAAATTAAAGAGATGGACATGATCAAAAATGCTGACATCCAGCAGACAAGAATCAGAGAAAGACACAGCCTGGGAGTCATAATTAAACTGTAATAAAGAGGTCTGCAGATAGCCAAAAATCTGTCATAGGACATCACTGAGAGGAGGAAACTCTCCAATGTACCCAATGATCCAAAAAGGTAACACTGTATGAAGCATCCACCAAGAGGAAACGTTGCACCACCTCTATATATTACATAGAGCATGGGGGGAGCGATGCTGCTGGTGAACAAGATCTCCGACATTGACAGATTGGAGAGGAACATATACATAGGAGAATGTGAAAGTTTAGAGAAGAACATCAACAGGGTGATCAACAGATTGCATGATAAGGTCAGGATGTAGATTATTAAGAACATGTTGAAGATAAAAAGTCTGTAGTTAGGGGCCATTCTGAATCCAACTATGAAAACATTACTGATAGAAGACTCGTTTTGAGTGCCCAACAATTGTTGAAGACTAGATTCCTTTTTGTCGATAATCTAGAGTCAAAAGATATATTTGGTGTCAAGATTAGCTTGAAATGGTAAAGCACTAAGGCCACTGCCACTCACCCTATTTGCCATTAAGGGTTTTTATATATGCACAATTGTATTTACATTTTCCACTCAGGGGTTTCCAAAATCACTTCAAAGCACAATGTAAGTATGTATGCAGCCTCCCTGGCTTCTTTTTGTAGCACCGCCACTCTGACCTTAGGTTAGGCCTTTTATTGGTTCCTTCAGACAGTCTCACAAAGCCTCAGTGATCACATGCACACTCTTCATAGCTTTCTGCACTTATCCCCACCATGGCATTTGGTGAGGGGCCTCCTGACTTCCAAATGGATCCGAGAACTTGCTTCCCATATTATAAAGACCTTTGCACACCTGCACAATCTGTGATTGCTGCTCACAATCAAAAAGGCGGACCAGGGTTGGAAGCCTCATCTCACCTTATACTCTACGAAACATCCAATGCTCCAGAACCCACACAGGGATTTTCCAATCTTGGAGAAAACTCCAAGGCCAGTTTTTTTTCCCACAACCACACACAACCCAGAGCCAGTGAACTTGCATGGGTGAGAACCGGAAATGACACTAAATCCTCTCTACAACATCACAAGATGAATTCCTGTGACATTGGACATTAATGTTACACTTTATGTCTATGTCCCTTTACTTCCTGTTTAAAGACACAACAAGAAGTTAGAGAAACTCTCTTTAAATTGAATAGATATTTCCTCTTAGACAGTTGTCACAGGAAGAAGATTTCCCCTTACCTCCTGTTCCTGTAACAACTCATTTTACATTTTAAATTTCCCATCACTCTATACCACAGACAATGGTTTCCAGAACCAGTCAGGAGGGATGATCTCTCCTGCAGGGATGCAGGTAACAATAAAAACCTGGCAAAGATTCTAACCCTTCCGCATGCTATCCAAAACTAAAAACTAAACATCTCTTGTTATCTCTCGCCTTGACTATTGCAACTCCCTTCTCATAGGCCTACCTCTCCGTAGGTTATCCCCACTCCAGTCTATCTTGAATGCTGCTGCCAGAATCATCCACCTTACCAACCACTCAGAGTCTGCCACTCCTCTCTGCCAATCCCTCCATTGGCTTCCGATTGCCCAGCGAATTAAATTTCAAAATGCTATCAACAACATACAAAGCTGTTCACAAATATGCCCCAAGCTACATCTCCAATTTTGTTTCCAAATATCACCCAAACCGTCTTCTCTACTCCTCACATTAATTCCTGCTCTCAAGCTTCCTTGCCTCCTCCTCTCATGTACATCTTCAGGACTTCTCCAGAGCCTCCCCCATCCTCTGGAACTCTCTACCTCAATCTGTCCGGCTATCCCCTACTCTGGCTGCCTTTAGGTGATCCATGAAAACTCATCTCATCTGGAAAGCCTATCACATCTTCAACTAGACATTTATTACTTCTGTCACCTCATCTCCCGCAGTTATAACCCTTTGTACCACTTGCCCCATCCTATTAGATTGTAAGCTCTTATGAGCAGGGCCCTCTTAATCCTCTTGGTTTTATTGTGTTGGAATTGTACTGTTTATATTGTAAAGCACTCGTCAAATTGTTGGTGCTATATAAATCTTGTATAATAATAATAATATTAAGCAGATTTGTCTTTAAAGATAGACATAACATTTATCTCCAATGCAAGTCCATATAATCTCCCAAGAAGCCCCCCCCCCCCCCCCCCCCCCCCACTAAAATTGTATAACCACTTGAGTTCTGGAAGATTTTACCACCTTCATGAGCAGGCCATTTTTTTTATATTCAGCACTATGCTACTTCAACTGTCCATTGTGTGGTCATGCAACACTGTATACAAATGAAATTGTAAACATTCTTTTCACACAGATAGTTCTTTCTTTGGTGGTATATGATCACCACTGGGTGTTTTAATTTTTTGGGGGATATAAGGAAAAAAAAAGACCGAAAATGATGAAAAATATTCCAATATTTTCTACTTTCTGTTATAAAACATATCCAATAACATTAACTTTTATCATAGATTTAGCCCAAAATATATTCTGCTGCATGTCTTTGGTAAAAAAAAATCCCAATAAGTGTATATTGATTGGTTTGTGTCAAAGTTATACTGTCTACAAACTATGGGATATATATTTGAAAATGTATCAATCCCTATGTACTGATGGCCGATCTCATTTCTTGAGAAATGCCAGGACAGTACAAATCCCCCCCAAATGTCACTACAGTACAAATACCCCCCAGATGTCAGGACACTACAAATCCCCCCCAAATGTCAGGACAGTACAAATCCCCCCCAAATGTCACTACAGTACAAATACCCCCCAGATGTCAGGACACTACACTACAAATCCCCCCCAAATGTCAGGACAGTACAAATCCCCCCAAATGTCAGGACACTACAAATCCCCCCCAAATGTCAGGACAGTACAAATACCCCCCAAATGTCAGGACAGTACAAATACCCCCCAAATGTCAGGACAGTACAAATTCCCCCAAATGTCAGGACAGTATAAATCCCCCCCCAAATGTCAGGACAGTACAAATCCTCCCAAAATGTCAGGACAGTACAACCCCCCCCACCCAATGTCAGGACAGTACAACACAAATCTCCCCAAAATGTCAGGACAGTACAACCCCCACCCAATGTCAGGGCAATACAAATACCCCCCAAATGCCAGAACGGTACAAATCCCCCCAAATATCATGACAGTACAAATACCGTCCATTTGTCAGGACAGTACAAATCCCCCCCAAATGTCAGGACAGTACAACCCCCCTCCCAAATGTCAGGACAGTAAAAATAACCCCCGAAATGTCAGGACAGTACAAATCTCTACTTCCACAGGAAAGCCCAATCATCCCAGCTTCATAGACACAGATAAATTCTTACCATTGACATTGCAGTGATATGCCTGGTTTGTATTCCTTTCATTAGAGTAAGTAATGTAACAATGAGATATAGAGGAGCCCATTGGAATGGGTAGAACAAGTGTATTCCCCTGTAAGCAAAACATGTGTTCCTGTTATTATGTAAAAAAAATAGTTCTTGTAAAGTCAGAATGACGGTCCCAGACCTGTGCAACTAATATACCTTCAGATCACGGGATATAAGTCATAGGCGTGGAGAAAATTGGTCCCAAAGAGAATAAATTCCCAGTGTGTATTTTACAGCTTCTCCTCCTTCAGATGTAAATAATATATTTAATAAATGACTAGAGAGACAGTATTAATTCCCCAAGCAAAAAAAAAAAATCAGCATACAGAAAAAAATTAACTAACATTTCAAGCATATGATCAAGATTTGGGCAGCACAGTGGCTAAGTGGTTAGCACTTCTGCCTGGCAGTATTCGGGTCGCTGGTTCAAATCATAGCCATGGCACCACCTGCCTGGAGTTTGCATGTTTTGCCTGTGCCTGTGTGGGTTTCTTCCAGGTACTCCAGATTCCTCCGACACCAAAGACATGCTGGGAGGTTAATCGGCTCCTGTCTAAATTGTCCCTAGTATGTGTATGTATGAATGTGAGTTAGGGAACTTAGATTGTACGCCCCTTGAGGGTTAGGGACTGATGTGAATGTAATATATATATATATATATATATATATATATATAAAGCGCTGTGTAAATTGATGGCGCTATATAAGTACCTGAAATAAATAAGTAAGATTGGCACTCTGTACTGAATGTACAAAGCCTAAATTCACTTCCATAGTATATGGTGATTACTTCAAAGAAGTTTGGATGCCAAACTTGAACTCAACTGAAATTAGTAAGAGCTTAATCTAACAAATTAAAAATACCCAATTGCTTGACTAATAGGCAAGGGGGTGCCCAAAATAGCATGGGGGTGGACATTGCCCTGGGGAACATGTACCAATAAAATATAAAACAAAATGACTATGGGGGGTATTAAAATGTAAGCTCTTCTGGTGCAGATAATTATATGATTGGCTCAGTGTCTTCTTTACAGCACTGCAGAATAAAAAATGTATAATAATAATAATAATAATAGTGTGTGACTGTGGGGGGCATTTGAGTGAGTCTCTGGTACTGAGACTGATGTGATTGGCTCCGTGTTCTATTTTGAAAGTGGAAATAATCTGGATCCAACATGTATTCCTAGAGTGGTGCTGATGCCTTGTTCCTCAGGCTGTAGAGTAGTGGTTTGACTGTAGGAATTATGACACAATAGAACAGTGCAATTATTCAGTAGTTTTCACTTGGACCACTGGACCCTAAACGCAGATACATAAACATGGCTGTACCATAGGAAAGAACTACAGACATAAGGTGGGAGCCACAAGTGTATAGAGCCTTGTGCCGGCCTTCCATGTGGCGTATGAGGAGTATGGAGTACAAGATGTTTATGTAAGAACAGAGAATAACTAGAAGAGGAGGAACCGCCCCACAGATACAAGTAATGAAGACCTTGAGATTATTGTTGGATGCATCTGAACAGGCCAAAGTCAAAACAGGAGAGATATTTTGATATTTGATGAAGGTCATATCATCTTTACATGAGTACTTATGGGCTTTGAAGCTCCTTCCAAGGTTGCAGCCTAGGGTCAGCCCAGGATATGATGGAGCTTGGCATAGGGGAAGGCTTAGATGTGCCATTGGGTTGAGCACTCACGTGTTGTCTGTTGGATTGAATTACTTCTGTAGTTGGAGTCATTGTTTTGCTGATGGAATGAGACTGATCAGTCATTGACACAGAACCGTAGCCGGGATCTTAGGAATCTAGGCTGTTCAGCAGATGTGCCGCCATGGTGGTCCAAGAGACCTGTGCATTGGTGGTAAGGACTGAGCGTTAATCGTGTACTCTCTGATTAGGCAGAATTATGACTTAGGACTATCACAGAAAGGAAGGAAGTCAAATGTAGGCAGAGCAC